GGCTCATTTCACCCTCACTCTGGGTAAACTGAGTCATGGTGACTATTTATGGGGTGGGGGGCAATGGCTGCTGTGCAGGAGGTAGGAGAAGGGCATCACTTTGGGGTGACCAAGGCAGCAGGGTGAGCAGTAACCAGATGCCTCCTTTCAGTTTTAAAAGATGACTGTGCTTCTGCAAAATATTTGCAGGCCAGAGGGCCCCTGTGTGCCCCCCAATGCATATTAATGGCATGAAACACCTCAGTGACCGTATGAACCCTCCTCCAAAATGGATTTCCATCTTTTCCAGCCCACAGCAGCACTGGCACATCTCCATGCCCATTTAACTCCCAGCTCCTGGTGCCAAGAAGCACTTTTACCCAGCATCAGCAGAAGCAAGTTGTCCTCTCTGAGGCCACATCACTTAAAACAAGTTGCCTCCTGGACAATTCACCCGCATTCAGCTAGGAGAAACCCTTGGTGTTTTGTTTTGAAGGATGGATGGGAGACCCATTTTAACACTTCAGACACTACCCAGGGGGAGGGTGGGGTGGTGGTGGTAGGGTTTAATCAGATCTTTTCCCCCAAACAATTGCATTTCTCCCGCCAAGCGCCAGCCAAAGGACAAGATTTTTCCAGAAGTGGGAAAAAAAGATGATTCAATGCAGAAGAGGGGACCCTGGCTGAGATCCCTGCCTGAGGAGGCTGCAGGCATCCATGGGGTGGGCTGTGGCAAATACCCACCTTCAGCCGGGACTGGATGGAGCTGTTCCTCTGCGTCTCTCGGCTCCGGTACTGCCCGAGCCCCTCCAGTTTTTCGGGGCAGTAAAACACCCCTGAAGCCCATTTCAGTGCAGCTCCTCTTGCCAACTTCTCGGCCTTCTCTGCTTCCGGCCACTCCTCGTCTGGGGACAAAGCCAGGGGTTAATGAGCACAACGAAGCCTCTCCTGGCAGGGCAGGAAGGGCCCCTGAGGCCAGAGGCAGGAAGCTGCCCGTCAGCGGACGTCCAAGCACACCAGATGTGGTAAGCCAGGAAGCCGGACAGTGTGGCAGCAAGCGGATCCTTCCGTGAGTGCCCCCCCAGATGCCAGCAGCACGGACTGGGGTAGTCGCAGCAGCTGTGGCGAAGGCTGCCCCGAGGATCTGTCCCCCAGGTCGAGCGCACATCCCTGTCGCTCCCCCCAAACACAATGCTGGGTTGTCTCGGGGGGGTCTTATGCCACCCAGGAAGCCCTCGGCAGGGCTGAGGCTTTGACAGTGAGTCAGCAGGAGGGATGGAGAGATGGCAGTTCTCGCATGAAGGACAGCCAGGCTGAGGCTCCCGGTCTCTCAAAGGCACCCACACAGCTGTGAGTGGCCACGGCATCCCCCCTCGGCACAGGGTGCGAAGCCTTCTGGCCAGAGTGGAGGGCTGAGAACCAGCACAGTTATCACATGCCAGCCCCCATCCCCAGCGCATGTTTCATTGTTTCCCCCTGCTCCATCCCCAGCAACTTCCCAGCCTGGGGCTTGCCGCAGCCCCCCAGGGATGTCACCCAGTCCCAAACCGGGCTCCTGCTCTGCTGGGGAGCCTGCCTGCACGGGCACCCTCAGGGACTGGGGGGCTTTGGAGGAGGCCAGCAGCTTTGGGGACAAGCTGTGCGGCGAGCAGTGCTGCCCCCGGTGCAGATCAGGAAGCAGAGCTGGGCTTCCACCCCCCACCAAGAGCACAAGGCGCCAGTCCCGGCACAGGGAAAAGGTCCAGGGGTGGTAAAGCAGAGGGTGGTGAGCTCCCAAAACACGCTAAGAGCAGTAGCATCCCTCCCTGCCCAGCACCGCCAGCTCCCCAGGGGGGTGGCTGCATCGTCCCCGTTACCTCTGGGGCTCGCGGCACGCTCGTCCTCCGCAGACATGCCCATGGTCTCGAGGCTGCGCAAGCTGCGGGGGCCAGGGCAGGGCTGCGCGGAGGAAACCGGCAGCCGCCTCCCCCGCCGCAGCCGCCCGGC